TCCCCTGAACTAGCAGAATATAATGGTTTTCCAGTAGCATGCTAACAGTCAGGCAAATTCTAAGTCCATAACCCTCAGCTTCCTCTTGCTGCACGTAAGTTTTCATCTGGTTTTCCATTTTGTTTTAATGTGGATATAAGGAGATTGTCCATCATAGCCAGTATCTCCGCAGTCAAGTCTCTCAGCGAACAAAATGCAAACAGTTTTTTTTTTTTTTTAAAAAAAAAAAAAAAAGAAGACTACAGGATGCCACAGCTATGTGATACAAGACCTTTTTTGGTTGTCAGAGTTGAACAAGCAACTTCTGAAACATTCCCAGCTCAGCTAGTACAGAAAGCTAGAAGATTTTTAAGAGTTGTACTTTGGCTTCAGTAGGCTGATGATTGTGGTGTGCCTGCAGCAGAGCATAACCTCCAGAGCACAGAAGCTACATCCCACTGTTGTCTGTGCAACTAAAGCTCAGTATTAAATTGAGTTTCAGCTAAGATATAAAGACAGGTAGAATTAAAACTGAAGCATCAATAAAGGCGAAGACGTACCTCCCAACTAAAAACTCAGAAGACAGGAAGTTGCTCAGATAACTTTTACAGTAAAAAATAGAAATCTGACCCATGGAAATACTATTCAGCTTATCACTATGTCCTCTTAAAAAAAAAAAAAAAAACAAAAAAAGCTGACGACCAGATGCATTATCATTTCACTGCACTACGGAATCCCATAGCTGACATTCACCTATTGTTTGCTTTCAACTGCTTTTCATAGCTACTATGGAAAACTCCATGGGCAAGCTGCAGCATCTCATACACTGGATGTATAATTTACAGTCTACAATGGAAGCGCTTTTATGTAACCTACCCTGGATTACCTACAGGAGTCATAACTTGAGGTAACCAAGTTTGCATTCAGCCCCCCTTCCAAGTAGTAACTAGCACAGCTTGCCTTTTAAACTCACAGCTTGCCTTTTAAACTCACAGCTTAACTTCAGAAACTTTGTCTTGCTTAGGAGACAGCACCCAGCCTCCTTCTCCCTCAGCAGCTCACACACTGTACACAGCAATAACACCAGCACTGCACTGAGAGTAGAGCAAGAAAGGCAGTGACACATCAGCAAGATGTGTTCGTGAACTGTAACTGACAACTGACTGCCCTGTCCTTTCTGGAAAGGAAATAGAAGGTAAAGGACTGATACAGCACATACTAGGCTTGTGGTATACAGTTCCCCATGCTTGTGGTTTACTAGCAAAGCATTTTCAGCTAACGTAAATATCATTGTAGTTGCAGTTTCTAAATCATTCCTCCTTTTAAAAAAAAAGATGCTACCAAATGAAAGAAGGTAGGCTCCAAATCCTCAACAAATACACAGCTCAAAACAGCTCAATCGTGCTTCCGTACTTCAAAAGTTACTTATTTGAACAACAGAATCCATAGCAATAATTCCACGCAAAATTTTGTGTAGACTGCACCAGCCTGCATTGTTCAGTAGACCAGAGGTTAACAAGCATCTTGTTTAAAACTGACTCAAACTGAAACAAGGACTCAGAGGGTGACACATCGTCCCCAAGATTTAGCTTTCATAATCAACTATGTGACTCTTACTACCTTTGGCATTAACTTTATCAGATGTAAGAGGCCTAACAGGAAGAGGTATCACATTATTGCCACAAAGTTACCTGAGCTGTACAAAGAGGTGACAAAAGACTCATCATTCCAATGTTACTTACAAAAGTCTCAACAGTAACACGGTTGTACAGGAAGAGACATTTTAAATTACAATAGCAAACAGCAGCAGTAACCACTCCTGCTAACTTCTAACTACTTCAATATCATTAAAGCAGTAACCCTAACTACTACTTCACTAAATTTATGAGATGTGCTTATGGCAACAGTAGGAGGCACACTTGACTCAGAATAACTAGAGCCAAGATGAACCTACACAATGGGAATAAAAGTATTCGAAGGTTACCATTGAACAATGTCCTTGCAGTAAGTGAAGCTGAGCAGTGGCTCTAAGCAGTTGCTGCTGAGCTCTTCCTAGCTCCCCCGTGCTCCCAGAAAGGCAGGTATTTCACATTTAAATACCTGCATCCAATATTTAAACTAGGTTCAGTTACAGTTCGTAGCCTGTTTGTAGGAGCAAGTTAAGCTAGCATTGTCTATCAGCCATGCCCTCCTCAGACTTTTGTTAGCTATCCATCAATAACCTCGAAATACTCAATTCCTTCTAATCACACCTTTCCATCATCTTCAGATTAAGAAAACTTAAGAAGTCTGGGCCAGGACCTCTTCTGTTGGAGGTTCTCACAGCAGTAAGTTATCCACAGAACATCATGACTTTCTCCTATTTCCACCACAATTCAGCACATCAAGCGTAAGGAATTACAATGCTGTAGGAAAGCCTTCCTAAGGATACTGAACACCACGATGATGATTCCAAGGAATCATCAGCACCATGGGAACCCGAGCTGTATTGGATAAAACAGCAACTACACTCCTCTTGAGAAGAAACTGATATTCCCAGAGTCACCCTTTTGTCTCTACAGAGGACATAAAAATTAGATAGTCTCTGGCAGAGTGACTTCACAATGATGGACAATGCAACTATCACACATTCCTCCACACTGTCTTTGATTCACACAATTCCTGCTACGACATTTTCTCCAACATTTAAACATTAATTCAGCTGAACTGAAAGCAGCCAGCATATTCTTTTCTTCCAAGCAGAACTTTAAGAAACTGAAGCAGTGAAAGCATGCTAGAAAAGTCCAAGAGAAAGTAATTCCAAAGAGTTGTGATACATCTTCATCAGCTCTGGACAAGCGCAGAGATGAACAACTGAACCTGCATGGTCTCATTCTGGCAGCACTACAGTGGAACTGTAGAAGACTTTGGAGAGGTGGGACACCTTGGACGTCTATGATACGTCAAGGGAATTAAAAACAAGCACAAGTTAGTTCAGGTTGCTGTAATATAGCACGGAAGAAATTGACTCACATTTCCATAAAATAAGGGTGCTTTGAAGACTAGTAAATCTTCAAGACACATCAAACAAGAAAACGAAGATGACATTTTAATTTTGACCATTTCATGAATTCAGACATTGACAGAAAACACACATAAAGAATTTCATTGTCCTGTCAACATTTATGTTTTCCTAGATAAAGAGGAGCATGTAGCCATCATAGCAATAGCTCCCAAGTTCCTCCTTTTATTTCTAGACGCAATAAAACAAGACCTTATCTCAATATCCTTAACCATACAGAGTAGCTCCTTCAAGAAATACTTCTAAAAGCTACAAAAATTATGTTTATGCTTTAAAAGCATCATTTTGCATGCAGTCTCCTTATGAGAGGAAAGCTACAGCCTTTCAAATAATTTCACTTGTAAGGTACTCCTTCAGTATATGCAGCCCTCAAGGAGAACATCCAACATTTTCCCCCAACCAATATTTGCAGTCTCACTGTCATTTTAGAAACTACTCATGAAATTCTTCAAACAGCTGAAAGCTCAGCAACATACTCTTCATAAATGAGCTTTTTTATTACATTGCTTCAAAGGTGCTTCTTTGGACCATTTGTTCACACAGTATGGAAGATGACTTAGACAGTTCAACAGAGGTGGTATTATTGGAAAGTGACTGATGCCAAACTGTCATTAGTTTCTGATCAGCAAGTACATTGTAAAGATTAAAACAGATTTTAGAGGTTAACTTAAAGGAACTCCAAAATTACAAAGATTAAAATTCCAAATAGAAAGTCATATCCTTTCAGAGGATTAATCTCAGGTCAGACTGCATATGAAAAGCTCAAGCAGGGCCCAACGCTAGTTAAAATTCACGCTCAAAAGACAGCCACAGGAAGAACAGCATGTAGGAAGGGTGCGTGCTTAAAGGTCTCAGAAAACTGGAAGCTTACTTCCACAGCCACTAAGCATAGAGCAAGGGCAATAACTTAATCTACAAAGGTACTGTTGAAGGATGAGATACAAAAAATTGCTTTGGAGGAGAACAAAGTCTCCCTATAGTACTGCAGGGAGCTATCTGCTCTGATCCTCCTCCAAAGCTCCTGGGATTTTGACCCAATGCTCTTTTGTCTGCCCTAAATTGCATCAGAACACACAGAATAATGAAGCCATAGTACATGAATCCCTCTGCAGACTGTACTGAAACAACACTAAAAAGTAAGCACTATCTTTTTAATTTAACACTGAGGCTTTGAAAGCCAAATACTACATCAGACACTTGCTCCTGATACCCCAGCTCTTCCCACTTCTTTTAAGGCTGTTGCACAGCAACCTGTCTCTCAGTTACACAAGCTCTGACTCGCATAAACTAAGGGTGTTTCTGCCATCATTAGATCAGGACTGGGAGAACTGTGGCCCTATTCTCACTTTAGTTTTATCCACCAGTCATCTGCAAAGGTTAAGCATGAAGCTTTTCAAAGCTTCATAAAGAATGTGATTAATTTCATCCTTGTACCTGTACCAAGCAAGAATCCTAGCTCTCAGAATGAAAAACAGCTTCACACAACTCAGCATGCTGCTCTAAACGACTTAGTGTATATTCTAAGCCTACAACAACCCAGTGCCACAAACACACAAAGCATCTGTGAAAACTGCATTTTAATATTGTTCTAAGACAAAATTTGTTTTTAGGTGCTTGAAAAGCTGCTGTCATTAATTTATGACAGAGTTTTTCCCTCGGCCTGTCTAAACTGCATTTCAAGTGCTTCTACAAACCACCAGGTTACCTTTCAATGGTGATAAAATGCAAGATGTCACAAGAAACAGAACTGTAGTAGTTTCTCTTAAGATAAAAAGAAAAAAAAAAATTCAGACTCCAAGGAAAGGCTGCACTTTTCTCCAGAGGGGGTGACCCAAGTAAGATCTGCAGTTCCCTGTCTACATAGACCTTGAATGGATGGGTTTTAGCACCCTCAAACATGCAGCCAAGCACCTAGGAGCCTGGCTGTGCTCTGCTAATTCACCATCTCTATTTGCTTTACCTGCAGCTCGCACCAGGCGACTTCCACAGTGGTATCAGTATCCAGTCCTTTATATACAGTTTTGAAAGAGCCTCTTCCAATCTCGATGTCAAACTTCAGGAAGCGGCCGTCAGGGGAGATGCCCACCGCCTTGGTCTCCAGCTCCTCTATGTCCTCCTGCTGCGCCCTCCGCTCCTCGAACTCCCGGCTGGCAGCCGACGTGCTGCCAGCGGCGCTGGTGGGGGGCAGAGCGGCGGCCTCATCCTCCTCCTCTTTGGGCAGTAGCGGGGCGGCATCCTTGGTGGCAGGGGGCTCCTGGCCAGAGCGCCCTTCCAGTGGGAGCGGGACTGGCGGCGGAGGCTGCCGCAGCAGCGAGGGGGCCTGCGAGGCTCCAACGGCGATGCAAGTGGTGCGGACGCACTCGGGAGGAGAGACCAAGGGAGCGGCGCTGCCTCCCGACACGGGAGCCGAGGGTGCGGCGGGCTGCAGGCTGGGCAGCTCCAAGGCCGTGGCGTTGGAGTCGCAGATCACGCTCCGGCGGAAGAAGCGGTGCTCGGTGGCTGCCGCCCCTCGGCTGTCCTTGTCCATGGTGTGGCGGCGGCGGCGGTACTCCTCGCTACGGCCTCCGCTCCCCGCTCCGCCGCTCGCTCCGCCGGTCCCAGAGGCAGCGTGCTCGGCGGCTCCCAGCTTCTCCCCGACGGAGCTGTCCGAGCTGGAACCGTTCTTAGGGGGCGGCGGCGGGGGAGCCAGGAAACGGGGTGCCGGGGGTCCGCCGTCCGCTGCTCCCCCCGACATCGCTGCCCGGGGAAGCGCTGCTGGGGCGAGGCGGGGCGGGGGGAGGCGAGGGGAGAGGCCGCTCACTGCGCGGGGAGCGCTCCCGGCCGCGGCCGCAGCTGCGAGACGGGAGGGTCCCAAGGGCTCCCGGCGGCGGAGCTGGGAGGCGGCTGCTGGGGAGGCTGGGCCAGCGGGGCGGCTCCCCGCTCAGCGTCTGCATCCATCCTGCAGCGGGGCAACGGGCAGCGGGGCCGACATGGAGCTCTGCGAGAGAGCCGGGGCGCGGGGCCGGGCGGGGGGAAAGGAGGGAAGGGCGGGCGAGAGAAGGCCGGGGCAGGCCCGGGAACCCCCGGAGCGAAGGCCCGCGGAGAGGGGAAAGGGCGGCGAAGCGGGGGCAGGCCGCGGAGGCGGTAGCCGCCGAGCTCAGTCGCTCGCAGCGGGCGGGCCCGGAGCCTTCAACCCGCCGCGAGGGCAGGGAAAGGGGCCGCGGGGCTCAGCCCCGCCTCGCAGGGGCGCCCATGGCGGCAGCGGCCTCCCCCTCCCGCCAGGCAGCCACCGCCCGCGCGAGGCCGGGCCGCGTTCTCTCAGCAGTAGAAGCGGCCGCCGCCGCCTCGCGGGAAGCCGGAAACCCTCCTCCTCCTCCTCCTCCTCCTGCTGCTGCTGCCGCTGCCTCCGCCGCTGCTGCCGCCCCCCGCCGCCTCGCCTCTCCTCACCGGGGGCCGCTCGCCGCCTCACACAGGGGAGCGGGAGCGGAGGCCGCGCGAGTCCGAGTGGCGCCCCGCGCCGCGGCGGGGAGGAGGGAGCGGAGGCGCTGCGGCCACCTCGGGGCCGTCTCTGCGCTAAATGGCGACGGACGCCCGAAACCGACACACAGCAGGGAGGGGGAGGGGAGCCGCCGGGCACGCCTCCTTCCGCGCACGCGCGCCCGCCCTCGAGCCCTTCCCTGGCCGTCGTTTACTCGGGGAGCCGCGGCTCCCGTCGTGCCCCGCGCCGCGCGCGGAGCCTCATGGGAGTTGTAGTTCTCGAGGGACGAGCGGCCTCTGCCGTGCGAGGGCCGCCTCCCGTCTCGCTCCTTCGCGCGGAGGTGCTTGCGGTGCGCTCCGCTGACCGCCGCTGCCGAGACGCAGTGTGGGAAGTGCAGGCCCCGGCGCTACGGCGCTGCGGTACACAGCCATATTTCGATACGTATTCGTATTTAGATACGAATAAACCTTACCCTAATCTGCGCTCCCGACTGTTTGGAAGAAACAGCGTTGTCAGACTTTGCCCTGACAATGATCGTTACCCTCTCGCCATCTGAGCGATGACTTTGGCAGCGTCGCGGCGTTAAGGGATGTGCGGCAGAGCCCACGTGAGCGCTGAAACAAATCGGGAACTTTTCAGGTTGAAGAGGCGCTGGCACACACCAGTCATCTGGTTATTTATATCGTGTTCCTCTTTCATCGCAACGTACCGAACCCAAGCACTTTCCATCTTACGTGAGCAGTCAGAAGTCACTGGGAATGTACCACAGGAAGCGTGAATTAATTGCTACCCTGCCTTTTAACCAACTGTAATTCAGAATTCATGTCGGTGATATATTCGCAGGAGGCATTCCGGCCCTTCACATGCTTTTTAAAAGTTATTTTAAAACGATTTAGAGGAAGTTGTGCGTTGCGTTGCTGATGCGAGGCCTTACAGACCTCAGCAGCCCCCAACCGCAAGAGACCAAGCCAAGCAGTTCTCATGTGCTTGCACTCCTCATCTACACAATTCGACACTTCATATTAACTGGAATTGTGTTGTCTTCTGTATATCAGCTTCTCTTTGTAACAGCAAACAACATAATGATGCAGTCTTCACAAAAGGAACAAAATGTACTTTGCTGTACAACTCTCCAGCAAAGACTTCTGCACTGCTTAATCCTTCTCGGTCCTACCTTTATGGCAAAAGTTGATTTGAGTTAGTTAACATATTCTTTTTGGTCCGCTTGAAATGCACTGACACAACTGAGTAATTACTTTTCAAAGCAATGCTGAGTTAAATGGCATAATTTGATTAGCAGTGAAGACTGACCTGATTAAAATTGATAAACTTATAACTCAATCTGTTCCATCCTTACTGCACCACCAGTGCCACAAGTTGACCATCAACTTTTTTAACACCAAGAAGGATTCGAGTTCACTAACCTCTTGACTACAGGTATTTGTGCATCTCTTCGTAATGGAATGAAGATTCATTTGCAGCATCAGCAGGCACATCCATGAAAACTGAATGCTATTAAGAGAAGTAGGGCACTGTAGAAGAGCTCAGCAAGGACTTTTAGCCAAGGCCCTGTTACCCAGCGTGGCCTGTGCCACCCTATCTTCACTGCTGCTCTTACCTCCTGGAGCTACATTCAAGCAAAAGTCTGCTTTCCTCCATTGCCTGCTGTGTTTTTACAAGCTCTTTAGGTGGGATAAGCAACAAACTCGGGAGTAGACAGCAGACCTTGCTCCAGCCTGATGTTTGTTGCAACTTAATGAGCACGTACCTAAAATAACACAGTGACAAATCACTCCTTGTGGTGTAAGCCTACAGCCTTCTTGGTGAATTCCACTTGCAGCATCAGACATCATCAGCCGCAGGCTTGCACCCAGCCCTCTACCTACCAAATGATCCGCTGCAAAAGTGCTGAGGCTGCAACTGGGAACCACCTCCCACTGGTCTACATGTGTTATTCCAATGCATCATTGCGTGTAGACTCTCTTGCACAAGTTTGTTTCACCAACTATCCTTAAACATATTGTCCCTTACTTAACTAAGCAAAATCTTTATAGAAGAAACCTGAAGCCCCGCAGTGCAGAGCCACAGAGAGCCTGAGGCGGTCTCCTACTAGAAAACTGTGGTAATTATGTAGAGAAGCACCTCCCAGGTGTCTGATCCAGCACATTCCTTGGTGCTCCTGAAACTCAGCCTTGCGTAAGTCTTGAGTACGAGGGCCCTAATGCCCAGTTCTTCTCACTGGCACCTCTACTGGGAAGAGATGGGTATAGCAGTCATCTCTGAGAAAGAAAGAATTGAAAAGGCTGAGCAGCTGACCAGGAGATGGGAATGATGGATTTTGCCTTCTGTGGCTCACAGAAAATAAAATAAAATAAAATAAAATAAAATAAAATAAAATAAAATAAAATAAAATAAAATAAAATAAAATAAAATAAAATAAAATAAAATAAAATAAAATAAAATAAGATAAAATAAAATAAAATAAAATAAAATAATCTTGGCAGTTACATTTTATGTGGGTGTTGTTTTCATTTTGTCAATCCAAAAAAAGACATATGTAATAAAGAGTGTGGGATTGCTTGCTCTTCAATTTCATTTCTTCCTTTCTTTTTTTTTTTTAAAGTCCATTAAATGTGCTTTGTCTCGATGGAAAATCTCAGAATTTCAGCAAGATTTAAAAAGCATTAAATTCTATACATGTTCTAAGTTTAGACACAAGTAATTAAAATAGTTTAAATGCCAGTTTAAATCCACAGCCATTTGAAGAAATGTCTTTTTCTCATGTTGCTGTAAGAAAAAAATCCATCAAAATAAGGATTCTGACTGCACTTGGAAAATTACAGGCAATGAGACTTAAATGATCTTCTGATTAAATCCATGGGGCTGACACTTGACACAGTAAAAATATCCTCCTTCTGTCAAACCTCTTTCAGTTATAGTCATCATGCTTGGAACTGTAACAGTTTAAAACATTACTGTGAATGAAGTATTATTTTGAAGTTGACTGAATCAGAAACTCTTTTTTCTCATTTGCTTTCCATGGTGAAATTTCATTCACCGTTGGCATGCCTCACCTGCCCATGTGACAAAGCATTAATGTGAAACAGCTATTCTCTATTTTCTCTTATGCAATACATTATGCAATACAGAAAGCTATGCCATATTTTTGATGCATGTGATTTTATTCCAGAACCAAAGTGCTTTTCAAAGAAAACTCATCATGTCAGTTTTATTGCACATTACAATGTTGCAGCAACGGTGCCATATAACAATTGTGACAAGCCAAATGTTTCTACTGCAGTTTCTTCTTTTTCCCTGATCTTTCTAGAACCCAGGCTTCTGCCACAGCATTCACTAATGCTGCTTCTTGCTGGAAGTTGGTAAAACAAGGTGTTTCAGGATTCTGCATTTGAGAAATTAGGTTATTAACTTTCCAGACAACAAGTTTTTGTTGGTCTGGTTTGTTCTGCTTCCCCCCAGAAAAGTCAATTTTAATTGGAACATTGTTCAGAAAGCTTACATTTATTTTAGTCTTTTATCTTTAATGAGATTTTGTACTACCAGGTAGCTCTAGAAGTCAGGTCACTGATGATGAAATCATTCATTGTGAGCTTTGGAAACCACTCTTGGGCATTTAAAGACTCAGACTCTGTAATAGGCGATGGTGTTGGATGGTGAACATGGGTACTCTCTGAACATGGGCACTCTCTCCACGAGCAGAGGAGATGAGAACTGGATAAAGAGCGAGAACTGCCAGTCTCACAGGGCTCAGAAATACACGTCCTTCCTGAGCTCTTCTGGCCTGCAACAACACTGCCATAAGCCCAGCATGTTTCATGCACTTACTTATCAGATTGAAACTTGCATTTCCCTCTCAACCCCTCATTCTAGTTACTAGAATACAAAGCATAACTCCTTTTATTTCCCTTCTTTCACCATTCTCTTGATCTACACTGACAAATATAATCTAGCCTCCTGAAAGTAAACCAGTCAGAAGGATAATTTACTCATTTGTTATCTGTGTTTTTTAATGACCAAAGTACAAATTTCAGTTACGTTAGTAACCATTTTTAGTCTGGAGCTGGTTTTAGCTTGCACTGAATGCTCCATGTTGCCCGTACCTTATCAACTATTGCATTTTTTATTAGCATATCTATTTGTCTATGTACATCCTCTAAACATAATCCCTTCAGATAAAGTCAACCAACAGGAACATGATAAAAGGACATTAAAAAAAAACCTCAAACACTGAATTTTACCAGATGTGAGCCGATTTATTATTCATGCACTATTTCAGACCTTATCAAGCCATCATGGCAGTTGCTGTGGCCAAACTCAATGTCACCCAAACTGGGGGCAGCCAAAAATAACTGCTCACTTCATTCATTATGTCATCTTCGCTTCTATTCTTGCAAATTTTCTTTACATAAAAGGTTTGTGGAATAGCCTAACAGTGAGTAAGTGTTGTGGAAGCATGGGTGTTTGCTGAAATCAGCACCATGTCCTCCTTTTCTCTCTCTGTAGTGATGGCTCAAGATGCCTCATTTATCAGTTTCTCTCTGATGCTTCAGGGAATTCTATGCTTCACAGCAGTGTCATAACACATCTAAGAGAGCAGAAAAGCAGAGGTACTGTTTTAATGAAGAGGAGCTGTTTGATGAAGGTGAGCAGAGGAAGGTGTGAAAAAAGTGATGATTCTGTGTTTGTGGCTGAGCCTGCCTTTGATGCTGTGGAGCAGGCAGACTGCCTTACACGCTACTCAACAGCCACAAGCTGATGAAAATCAATCTCTCTACTCTCTACATCATAGTACAGAAACAAAATCCACTTGCTTCATCCAAATCAGGAGCAGGCTCATAGTCCAGAATAAAGAACTTCCTCATGCCCTTTAAAAGTGCAATCTGGGCCAAATGCAAAGCATAAGCCTGTTTCTGCCCTGTTCATCCCAGTAGCTCCAGTCCTGGAAGGTGCTCAGTATTTCTGAATGATGTCAAGCATTCCTGAGGGACAATGACTGTTCACCTGGGCCACTGATGGCAGTGAACAAGGCACGGTCAGTGCTTCACAGCTGGGCTCAGTACTCTGCAGAATTGAGCCCTGTA